AATATATTTTGCGATATCCAGTTTCAATTTAATAATTGCACTGTTACATGAATAATTAATCTGTCAAAACTTGTACCTAGTTGGTAAGTAGTAAGTAGGTTAAATGTAACAAGAAGAAAAAAAACATTAAATTTTACTTTAGAATAATATTTCAACATTTATTAACATTATTGGTATATTGTATTCACTTGTAAACTATATTTGAGGGTCATAATAATAATTTTAATCCTAAAGAACCGGGTCAATTGAACTTTTCCACATCGCAATTTTTGGGTTGGAGTGAAAGGTATTTTATAGTTGGGTAGAAATTTTATTACTTTATGGTTTTTCCTAATCCGAAGGGTTTTGTTTACATTTTACCTAAAAATTTGCAAAACTTCTATAAATATAAATCGATTATTTTGGAATTTAAATGATTCCTCGATTCATTTCGGTAATAAAATAAGAATTTTTAATTTTTTATGCCTACTTATTAGGTAATGGTACCTCTAAAATGCATAATGATATTACTTAAGTAAAAATATAATTTGACAATAGCGTGATCGCTCATGCTTTTGTTGATTAGACAGAAATTGTGAAACTTAACAATCGATTGGATCGATTATTGTGAATTTCAGAACTAAGCAACTGGTAGTCTCTGGCAACTGACAAGACAAAAACTCAAATGTCGAAGGATTGAAGTCTAAACGACAAAACGTAAACAGTTCGTTTTTCGTGTTTGAATTTTGGCAGATTTTTGAGTGGGTGTTGTTATTTTTTTGTGCTTTTTCGTTATTCGTGATTTTGTTACTTTTATAAGACTTCATTAGTTATAAGGATATTTAGTAGTTAGTGAATAAACTTTTACCTTATAAAATATGGGGCATCATACAAATGTCCCGAGTAGAAAGAGGAAGAGAAATAAGATGTGCAATTGGAAAGTCATGTGTTCCCAAAAGTCGTTTGGTTTCAAAGTTCCTCAAGGAATAAAAGTGTAACAAAAATTTAATGTTGAAAGATATATGAAGGATTCATTTCCAATATTTTTGATATCTGTATTATATTTTAGGTTGTTTTTATTGTAATATACTATAATCTTTTTTCTAATAAACTACTTTTTGTTTTATGTCTAATTTCCTTCCACCCATGTCCTATCAATAATTATTTTTGCAATAAACAAAAATATTTCGGTATTTTTGCAAGTTTTGAATTAGTTTTTATTAAAATTGCTCATAAACCGATACAATTAACATTAATAAAACTGATTATAATAACTACTTCAAACAAACTCAAAATTAATATTGCAGAAAAATATCCATTTGTACACCACTTCATTGGCTTCAATTCTTAAAATTAGTCTTCATGACACGTATATGACATACAGTGAGTGCAATAAAGTTGGGTCCATATATATATGGCAATTTGTTTTAATATTATGACCGGAAAAAACGTCATTTACCTCTGATTATTTAAAAAGTTGGCTACGTACGTTACTTACCTGTCAAATTCGTAATAATTTTGAAAAATCGCTCAAAAATCCTTTTTTAAACGAGACTGACAGAACTAAATCCAGTAGTCAAATTTAATATGGGTTGGTTTAAGTTTTTAAATAACCAGAGATGATGGTTTACGATGTTTTTTCCAATCGTAATATCAAAAAAAAAAAATCACATATGGATCCAACTTATTGACACACACTGTATAAAGCAGGTTTGAGAACGTACAAAACTATATTTTTTTTAATTCTTGTCAACTAACAAAAGTGCTTGTGCCTTAAAATCTTCCCGATTTTGTCCATGGAGAAAGATTTTGTCACTCAATAAATATCTTTAAAACCATTGTAAACATACATAGAACGGCAACGTCGTATTATCATTGATTATCATATACAAGTATATTTGAGCAACGGTTCGTATTGTACTTTGAAATAATTTGACATGCCGTTTGCATTTCTAATTGGTCAACCAATAATTTGACATAAGACGTTTACTTTTCTGATTGGCAACCATTAGTTGTCGCCCAAGTTTCAATGCATATGTTAACTCAGCCTTGCATGTCGCATTGGTGGTGAACACGATGTACTAAAATGACATGATAATTAACGCGTCAATTTTAAAAATTGTGTCAAAATTTGCAAATTGAAATCATGCTTTTTGTAATAATTATTAGACCGACAGCCGTCATATTGTAGGATAGTTAATAAAAAATCATAGAGAATTCATTGAAAACAATTTGCTTAATCATCCTTGCAATAAAATTTTTCAAGTTTTTAATGATAATTTGAAATTATGATTAGTTATTATCGAATATGTGTATATTCAATTCATTCTTACAACATTTCTGTTTATAATTATAACTCAATTTCCTTGTAATTTTTCTTTATTAATCTAAAAAGCATGATTTAGTAACACGTTGTAAAATGACAAAAACGGCCGCCATTTTTAGTCCATTTCCCAGCCTTAAGCTTCAATCAAGATGACTCAAAGCTGGTTTGGAACTGAGCTTATCCTAGTCATTTTCAATCTAACCCAACCTAACCTAGTAAATTCGAATTATTTATCGATTCTTCACAATAATCGGTAATGTTTAATAAACGATTCCGTGACATATTTGTAAGTAGAAATATTACAGTATTACGGTATTTCTCTAGGGTAGTCGAGTAAAATGGTAAAAACGAAGGTAAGTAAGACTATTTTTAAAGTAGCTGATTTAATGACAGTACATGCGCATGAAAACGTTTACGTATAAGTTTCTATTTTAGTAGAGCGTAAAAGTGAACAATATTAACGATAGCGTTTAGATTTAAGGACTACTAATGTTTCCTTTTGAAATTCGTATCAAAAACACTTTTTCCCCTGGAATATTACGAATATCCATCTTGTTTTATTCGATTCTATTTGAAGCCATATGAAAACTAACAAAACTGGCGCCCGAGTGTTTTCCGTATCTAAGGTACCAGAAGAATACGTTTCTCTATAGCGAGAAAACCTTTTACAGTAGTTTATCCAACTTAAACTTTCGAATAGCTAAAAGATTAAAATCGATAAAAATTTCCATTCTGCAAAATTAAATCCGACAAATCCATCGCAATATCGAAAATATTTACTTTAGTTAATTTGTAAGAGTTTGTAGAAGAATGTTTATAGAGTGGAAAGAGTTTTTATTGTCCGATGAATCCGAGTTGCAGTTTCCTGCACCTCGTAATTCTTTGCATTCCTACTTAGATGGGAACGCTTTCCAACTTGACGGCTTTAGAGTTTATTGCGAGATGCAGCAAGAGAGCAGCAGCATGAGCGGCAGCCGGAGAGATGCAGTCCGGTTTTTTTGCATTTATAGCCAATTTATTTCGTACGGTCTTCTCGGAATCTCGGAATAATGTGAAAACCTCTCTAGGTTGGTTGTTTCGAAAGGAGAGATGATTTTTATCCGAATTTAAGTTACGTTAAAATAAATAAAATCATCTTAAATGATAGTTCCGCCATTGATAATTTGTTAATAATCTTCTTTTGCACAAACTACAGATCCAATAAGATTTTTTTGGACTAGTTCTTGTCTATCTTGCTTTTGCATCTATTTTATAATGAATTTTTTTTTTATTTTACACCTATTTAGCGACATTACTTAAAACTTCTAATTCAAAACGATTGTTTTTCGTAATTTAACCAGTTTTCGAGATTTTACGAAATAGAAAAGATTGTTGGACTAGTTTTTGTCTATCTTGCTATTTCATCTATTTTATAATGAATTTATATTTTTTTACACAATATTTAGCGTAATTACTTAAAACTTATATTATTAAATTAATTTCCACACGCCTGTTATTTATCCACCATAAAGCCATGAATACAACAATAAGAATAATATGCAACATTCAGACATTCTAGACAAAAACGTTCGAATACAAATCGATAAAATAAAACTTATCTAACGACCCATGTAAGAGTAAAATTTCGCATATAAAAATAAACGAAGATATGAAAACAGGCAAAACAACAATAAAAAGTAGTTAAAAGTTGGCTTTGGAAATTTGCAAACATAGATATCGGGGTCGGTAATTTAAAATACGAAATCAATAAAATCGGCATTGAGAAACCGGCGTTCCGTAAACTATATATTATTATTCGGAAAACTTCGACCAGTTTTCGTTCGTAAAGTTTTCCATGAACTTTCAGTCCGTTTATTTGAAACTAAAGAAAATAAATTTGTCGTAAACAGGCCAATCTCTTGGGGACAGTTAAATCAGTCAAATCAGAAATATTGTCACGAGCTTGATTGATCAAGATTGGCAGTTGAAAAATAATACAAAATAATATAAAAAAATATAGTTTTTTTTATCAGTCACACCACATTAAATCATTTTACATAAAGTATATAGCAACTCGCTAATTTATAAACCTCTAATTGAATCTTATCGCGTTATATTCAGTTTTGATTTATTATTACTTATATTAGACTGTCATAGGGCAGTCCCTTGTCACTTGTCCCTCTAGGCTTATTTCCTTGAGAGCAAGTTTCTTTACTTAGTCAACTCCTCGCTATTAGTAGCATTATTTGACTATTTTGGCTGATATGCTGATGAGCAATAAGTGAATTTGTTGAGAGTTTATGTCTAAATTTAGTTTTGCCTGTTTTCTCCGAAAAATCTAGGCTTTTCATTTACGTTATTGTCTATGGCTCAGCAGTGTACAGTACTTGTAGAGTGCATTGACTGATCTGACACCGCGCCCACCCGTTCAGTCTACCCGTCGACCAAAATCAGTTACCATAGCCGCATTTAAGTATTGTACGCCTAGAACCTTGAACCTAGGCTACCGCTACCCAGACCTACGTATGTCGTGTCTCTCGAGGTAACATAACCTAACTTTCCGAACTTTCGCAAACGTAAACTATATTCTCTAGTTTTATTAATATTCCGAACAAAATCGTGTACCAGGTATAGTGTAAAAACAATTTCGGAGTGTAACCCCGTGCATGGGGAGCCCTTTGGGCCAACCAAAACCGGATACGTGAACGTATTACAGCCGCCTCCAAAACGCCAACAGTTAACATAAATGTGTCAATGAAGCACGCCGCACTCAACAGCCTGAAGATATTCCAAGTGAAACACATACACCCTTACAAAACAGTGAGTACCACCAGAAATACGACTAACTCTCCTAACCCGGGGTCATATTCCACATTCAGAAGGGCCCCCTGGTCGAAAATTTTTTGCAAAAAAGTACTCACAAATCTGGTGAAAGACACCAACCCAAAATGGCCGGCTTCGGAGAGCCAAGGCACCACAAAATCTCCGAATCCACATCTAGACAGCCAACAAAATAGGTCACAAACAGCAGACAAAAATGAAAGTATGGAGAATACCAGACTCGAAAGTATGGAGAACGCTGCAGACAGTCATAAAAGTATGCAGAACGCTGCCAACAGACGCGAAAGTAATGCCCACCCAGAGCATCCGCCGAACGAGGCCAACATGCAGACAAGCGACCGCAACGATGTTTCACAGACTTCGCAGAATAGTGTTGACGAACTAAGATCCGATCCAAATGACAGTATGGAGAATCTCAAAAAAACACTTGAAGGTTCCAATAGCGGGACTAATACAGAAACAGATGATTCTTCTGAACTACATATAGATGAACAGGAAACGGACACAAACACCCCGGACACAATAAAAAATACTTCTTTTTGATTAAAAAAGTATGGAGAAAATCCAAAAAAGTCGCAGGACTTCCCAAATTTCGTTTCGGTTTACAAAACCCTGGCAATGCCAGCACACGTCCAAACCAGAATATTAGATTTTGGACAAAATGAGAATTCCTCAGGAGAGGATTCATCCCACAACAGCGAAATTAACGAGATTAACGCTTACAGAAACACTAAATGGCAGAAAACCCTGTCAGAAATTAACCCTATGGACAACTCACTGTGAAGAGTGGTTGAGGGGCTTAAAAAACCTCAGTCACTACTCTTCCCACTGATACAAGGGCAAAACACAGACACAGATAAAAGCCACGTCCTCGGTGTCTATTTTCAATCAAATTTTACGAATAATACGGAAACAACAGAAACCAACAAATCATAGAAAACTAAAACATAAATAAACTAAAATTAACTCCCCACAAACAGTCCTTCAAACGTTTATGACATCTCCTAAAGAGGTAGGGGAAATAATTAAGGGCCTCAAAAACAGAAAAGCTCCAGGGCCGGATGACATAAGCAACATCATGCTCAAAAACATACCAGTCAAGGCGATTGTACAACTCCATTACATAATAAATGCCATTTTCAGGTTACAACACTACCCTAGTAGCCTGAAAGTGGCAAATATTATACTTATTCTCAAACAGGGTAAAAACCCTAAAAATATTGAAAGTTACCGACCCATCTCACTGCTAAACACAATAGCAAAAATTACAGACTAAATTATTTTGAAACGACTCAAACAAGTAGAAGAACAATGACAAATTATCCCGCAGGAACAATACGGTTTTAGAAGCGTTTAATAATGACCTGCAAACGGTGATTGCCACCCTTGACAGCGAAAAAGACACCGTATGGGCCTGCGGGTTAATTCATAAGATGCTGATGAATGAATTTCCAGTGTACATTGTAAAGATAATTGTACATTGTAAAGATAATTCTGTCTTACAGGACAGACAATTCAACATTAAACTTAACTCAACAATTACAGGGCCCTATATAGTGCAAGCTGGAGTACCACAAGGCTCAGTACTATCGCCGCATCTGTACACCATCATGACCCATGACATGCCAATGGGACATAATGGGGTACAGACGTCGCTGTACGCCGACGACACCTGCGTCTTCAAAAGTGATAAATCAGCAGAAACAGCGATCAGGGACCTGGACGCCCATATAAATGACACGTTGATCCCTTACCTAGTTGAAAATAAAATGAAAATCAACCCAACAAAAACAGCGTGCATATTTACAAAAAGGAGGACTCAGCCAACCACAAGTAGTGCCATATTCCTTTTTACCTCCCCTAAAGAGGTGTGTGAAGTAATTAAAGGTCTCAAAAATAGAAAAGCTCCGGGGCCGGACGACATCAGTAATATTTTAATTAAACATTTATGTAGAAAAGCTGTCGTGCAGCTCCACCATATAATTAATGCTACAACATTATCCCAGTGGCTTGAAAATGGCAAATATTATCCCAATTTTAAAGTCAGGCAAACCGGCCAATAAGATCGATAGTTACCGCCCCATTTCTTTACTGAATACAATTGCTAAAATAACTGACACGTTAATTTTGAATAGACTTTAAAAAATCGAACGACTACAAATTATACCACGGGAACAATACGGTTTCAGAGAGGGACATAGTACCGTAGCCCAAGTACTTCGAATTACGCATCATGCGAAAGAAGGATTTAATAACGACCTCCAAACAGTTCTAGTCACTTTAGATTGCGAAAAGGCCTTTGACACCGTATGGACTCGTGGGCTAATACACAAAATGCTTGCGAATGACTTTCCCGTACACATTGTGAAAATATTCTAGCCATACTTGACGAGACAGACAATTTTGTATTAAGATTAACTCCACAATAACAGGCCCTTTTCTAGCGATGGCGGGAGTACCCCAGGGCCCAGTACTTTCGCCGCATTTGTATACGATTATGACCTGTGATTTACCCATGTGTGATAATGGTGTACAAACGGTGTTATATGCCGATGACATCTGTGTATTTTCTAGTAAAAAATCAGACCAAGACGCCACCAGGAAGCTAGACAATCATATAAACGGACCGTTGATCACCTATCTAGCCGAGAACAAAATTAAAATTAACTCTAATAAAACCGAGACGGTGCTTTTATCTAAGAGGCAGACCGAAGGCATAGCACGTCCCTTCAGGTCCAAAACCAACCAATAGAGGCCAAGCCTGCAATTAAATATCTTTGATTCCAGCTGGATAGGAGATTAACGTTCCGACAACACATTTTAGACAGGGTGACTAAAAATTACGGAATTCTTAGGACCCTCTACCCCCTAATGAATATACGGAGCAGAGTCACCCTGTCAAACAAAATACTCGTATATAAAACGGTTTTCAGAGCAATACTAACATATGATTGTCCGGTTTTCTGCTCAATGGCGCAATAAATTACAAAACACTCAAAACAGATGTCTGAGGCTAGCTCTAGGGTGCGATTGCTACACTTGAATACAAGACATGCACGCTACTATAAATATGCCACTCATGAAAGAGCCGAAAACTTCTAAGCGCGATGCCTCCCCGATGAGATGAGGGATAGCATCATCAACATACATCGGGAAGACGGCGTGCGTAGAAAGCACGGTTGTCTTCATCAATGTCTGAGCATATACCGACGACAATAACAGGACCCTCCACTGTGCATAACGTACTAAACAACAATTCACTCGATGTAGATACTTGCGAGATCTAGTCAGACGGACGACTGAGCGGTAGAGCTGACCGGCAGATCCACGGCCGAGGGCGATTTCGTCCTCGACTTTGGTTCTTTCGGGGATGAGAATTTTAGAAGCAGACCCAAATATATTATATTTTACCTAAGTTGAAATAATTTGTAAATACTGTATATATAAATAAAGATTTTTAAACTGAACTGAAACTGGTTCTTTCGGGGGTGGTTTTATAGGTCAATCATCCTGTGAATTATCAGAATAACCAAGACTATCGTAAGACCAACGTACATTGCTGACAACCCTGTTTTTTCCTAGCTTTTCCAGAGGAGAAAGACCAAATTAATCCACGACAAATCTTTTAACAATGACAATTACTGACTCCAAAAACACCACAACCCCTCAATAATGCCTCTCTGGCAAGGAGTGAGGGCTGCTAAGTTTAGCCTAGTCATAACTCATAAACAACTTCTTGTAAAATAGGTGAAAGTATCACCATAGGCCCAGCAGGTAACTGTGAAAGCCAACCCAAAACACTCCGAAAATTGTGTTTTTATTTTATAATCAAGTTGTATATATATTTTTTATTTTAACATGTAAATAAATTTTCTAATGCTAATGCCAAACATACTAACGACAATTCACACCGACCAGAAAAACGTAAGTGATTTGGTCGGACGGCGGACTGCACGCTCGTTCAGCCGCTGGGACACCGACCAAAAGCCCTATACACTTTCGATCGATCCCCGGGCGGAAGTTCCATCATTCACCAAGCCAGTGGATTGTGACTACAACCAAAGACTATACAAAGACCAACATACACACAAGGACAACCCTGTTTTTTAATAGCTTTTTCCAGGGGATAATAACCATAACTAAGACGCGACAAAATGAAAAATATTTCTCAATTATCGATTTCAAACTAATCAAATTCCTCAATAATACCGATGCGAAAAGGAGTGAGGGCCGCTATCTTCATAACATTAATCGCACATCGGTTCTAACAGGTAGATATGTCTGCCATGGTTCCCGGGCCCGCACGAAGCTATAGGCTCTTTGTGTCGAATTGTTCTAACTTACGTGTGAAACTGTAGATACATTTTTAAACTGTATATAAAGATTTTCAAACGCAAAAAACGTACTTAATAATTAGTAACTATTCTTTCTGTCTCTCATTTTTACTTATTTTTTGCTCCATGTTATTGTCTATATAGCCAAATATGCTTTCTATTAGCATTGTTCCCTGCTGATATATCAAAAATGTCAGCTTTCAGCTCCGCTCGGAGAAAGTTATTGTAAAAAATTTTTATAGTTTGATTTATATTAAAAATGTTTCAAAACAGTTTTTAACATTAACAAAGTTCTAAATAGTTTACAATTTTCTCATTATGTGTAATTACTAGCAACTAGCAAGACTTCCTATATCTACCTTTCGGTGACGACAGATAATCTGCAGTTACCGCCCATCGTGCATTTGTCATTTAAATAGCGCCAATTCTGGGACATCCGTATAACTTTCCCTCCGTTTTTGCCGTCCGTAGAGATTAGGTGTCAACAAAAAAAAAATGGACGCTACCGAGCAAAAAGGGCTCATTTATTAATGAAGTAGTCTGGAGGCCGGGATGGATCATTGTCTTTTAGACACCGGCATCAATAAATTATCACAGTTTCGGCGAGTTTAGAGTTGACGACTCTGAATGGGCTAAGTGAAAACATCTGCAGTAGCTGTGGGAATATTCGAGACGAGCATTAGGTGCTTTTTGAGCGCCAAAAACTTTACGGGAGTCTAAGATTTTTTTTTATTATTTAATTAAACAGCGCTCTATTTTCGAAACTTCGCTGTAATTAGTTCGATGGAAACAAAAAGTTTATATTTCCGACAATTCTAAATTAAAGTAAAGTACAACGATTTTACTGATGAGTACAGTGTAGTAGAAAGCTCAAACTTCAAAGTTCTGAGCACTTAAGTAAAAGAAAAAAAAAACAGATTCTGTATCGGAATCTCAATACTTTTAAAATAGACTAAATGATTATATAGGGATGTATAGCATTGATGTCATTTTTGTGATGTGAGTGACATTTAATAAAACAAAGCATTCGTATGCGATAAAGTTGATATACAGGTTAAACGATGAAATTGTGTCAAAAATATTGCCAGGTATAGGAGGAGATGTAACTACTAACAAATATCATGCGGTCCTGGAAAACATATTCTAAGGGGCATAGGAGGGTATATTATCCGCTGTTATCATATGCCTGTTTCATTATTCATGTTTTGT